TAGCTTAGTTTAGGTAAGGTTAGCTTAGTTTAGGTAAGGTTAGCTTAGGTTAAGTAAGGTTAGGTAAGGTTAGGTTAGCTTAGGTTTAGGTTAGGTAAGGTTAGGTAAGGTTAGGTAAGGTTAGCTTAGTTTAGGTAAGGTTAGCTTAGGTTAAGTACGGTTAGGTAAGGTTAGGTTAGATTAGCTTAGGTAAGGTTAGGTAAGGTTAGGCTAGCCTAGGTATGGTTAGGTTAGGTTAGCTTAGGTTAGTAGGTTGAATTTCGTAGGTTGTGTAAAAGATGAGAGCGACTTTTCTGAAAACACCTTTATTAATGTGATATCATCTTGGCCTGGTAGGGAGATCGCTGGCATCATAATTTCACAAGCCCGAGTTCAATCCCCGGAGTTGATCTAAGCGAATTAAAACATTATTATCGACGATAGTACCTCGCAAATTGATTCGACCCAGTTACCAAGCCCCGACATGGGAGAGGTGATTAGACACTGATCATTAACTGCTCATTCAGCATTAATTGGGCACCTGGTTGCAAACCGAGCAGTTGGTTGTGTTCCAGGGAAATCCAGAGCAAGATGAGCAAGTTCGAAATTATAATGAATTAAAACTTTTAAAATTGGAGAAAATTTATTCCAAAAGAAAGAAGTTTTGGTGAAAATCTATAGATTTTCCTTCAGACTGCCAATTGTGAAATTTTGATCCCTCGTGAAATTAATTAAATTTAGTTAAATTAGTTAAAATAATAGTATTAGTATATAATAGTATATAATAATAGTATATAATAATAGTAAAATTAGTTAAAATAATAGTATTTTTGCTACAAGTTCACTCTTCCCATGTCTATCCATCCCCCCTAGACTGGTCGGCTTCATTTGCTGCATGGTCGGCGTTCGATCCCCAGAGGTTCAAGTGGGTGGGCACCGGTCCTTCGCCTCGTCCCTATTTATCCCAGCTCCTATCCTGTTCTGATATCCCAGTGCTTATACTGTTCTGATATCCCAGCGCTTATACTGTTCTGATATCCCAGTGCTTATACTGTTCTGATATCCCAGCGCTTATACTGTTCTGATATCCCAGTGCTTATACTGTTCTGATATCCCAGCGCTTATACTGTTCTGATATCCCAGCGCTTATACTGTTCTGATATCCCAGCGCTTATACTGTTCTGATATCCCAGCGCTTATACTGTTCTGATATCCCAGTGCTTATACTGTTCTGATATCCCAGCGCTTATACTGTTCTGATATCCCAGTGCTTATACTGTTCTGATATCCCAGCGCTTATACTGTTCTGATATCCCAGCGCTTATACTGTTCTGATATCCCAGTGATTATGCTGTTCTGATATCCCAGCGCTTATACTGTTCTGATATCCCAGTGCTTATACTGTTCTGATATCCCAGCGCTTATACTGTTCTGATATCCCAGTGCTTATACTGTTCTGATATCCCAGTGCTTGTACTGTTCTGATATCCCAGTGATTATACTGTTCTGATATCCCAGTGCTTATACTGTTCTGATATCCCAGTGCTTGTACTGTTCTGATATCCCAGTGATTATGCTGTTCTGATATCCCAGCGCTTATGCTGTTCTGATATCCCAGCGCTTATACTGTTCTGATATCCCAGTGCTTATACTGTTCTGATATCCCAGCGCTTATGCTGTTCGGATATCCCAGCGCTTATACTGTTCTGATATCCCAGCGCTTATACTGCTCTGATATCCCAGCGCTTATACTGCTCTGATATCCCAGCGCTTATGCTGCTCTGATATCCCAGCGCTTATACTGTTCTGATATCCCAGCGCTTATACTGTTCTGATATCCCAGCGCTTATGCTGTTCTGATATCCCAGCGCTTATGCTGTTCTGATATCCCAGCGCTTATGCTGTTCTGATATCCCAGCGCTTATGCTGTTCTGATATCCCAGCGCTTATACTGTTCTGATATCCCAGCGCTTATGCTGTTCTGATATCCCAGCGCTTATGCTGTTCTGATATCCCAGCGCTTATACTGTTCGGATATCCCAGCGCTTATGCTGCTCTGATATCCCAGCGCTTATGCTGCTCTGATATCCCAGCGCTTATACTGTTCGGATATGTGATATATTTTCATGTCATATCATCATGACACTGCCTCATAGTAACTGCCCATCCAGGAGTCATGGTAAGTGTTCAGCTGTGAACAGAGGCATTATATGGACACTAACGAAGACCTTTATTGGCCTATTCGGACCAGCTCCTGGTTTACATCCACCCCAAACCCCTTCATGTGTGTGTCTAGCCTACGCTTGAAACAATGTCCGTTTGCGAAACCTGTACATATTTCTTCAGTCATGGCGGCATTGTTTAGACTATATTGAACGGTAGAGCGACAGTCTCGCTTCATGCAGGTCAGCGTTCAAACTATGATAAATAATAATAATAACCCTGGGTTGTGACCTTTCAAGCATGCTCATAAATTGTTTCATATATACAAGGGCGCCATGATCGAAGAAAGATCTACAGGTTTCGTCAATGGTCGGGCAGTGAATCTAGGGTACCAGACAGGGTCCAGTAGCCCAGCAGGTGGTGAGGACGCTAGCTCCTGGGAACCACTCCAGGTGACAGTCATACCCAATCCTACTATAGTGACCTCTTTTACACTTATCACTGCCCCGTGCTCTTGGTGAGAGGCTCTTGTGTACTCACTTATTTGTGCTTGCGGGGTTGAGCTCTGGCTCTTTGGTCCCGCCTCTCAACGGTCAATCATCTAATGTACTGGTTCCTGAGCCTACTGGGCTCTATTATATCTACACTTGAAACTGTGTATGGAGTCAGCCTCTACCACATCACTGCCTAATGCATTCCATTTGTCTACTACTCTGACACTGAGTAGAAGACAATTCTTTCTTACGTCTCTATGGCTCATTTGGGCACTCAATTTCCACCTGTGTCCCCTAGTGCGTGTGCCCCTTGTGGTAAATAGCCTGTCTTTATCTACCCTATCAATTCATCTGAGAATCTTGTATGTGGTGATCATGTCCCCTCTAACTCTTCTGTCTTCCAACGAAGTAATTCCTGTAGTCTCTTCTCGTAGCTCATACCCCTCAGTTCGGGTACTAGTCTGGTGGCAAACCTTTGAACCTTTTTCCAGTTTAGTCTTATGCTTGACTAGATATGGACTCCATGCTGGAGCCGCATATTCCAGGATTGGTCTGACATATGTGGTATACAAAGTTTTGAAAGATTCCTTACACAAGTTTCTAAAAGCCGTTCTTATGTTAGCCAACCTGGCATATGCCGCTGATGTTATCCTCTTGATATGAGCTTCAGGGGACAGATCTGGCATGATATCAACCCCAGGTCTCTCTCTCTCTCTCTCTCTCTCTCTGACTCTTGAAGGATTTCATCTCCCAGATGATACCTTGTATTTGGTCTCCTGCTCCATACACCTATCTTCATTACATTGCATTGGCTTGGATTAAAATCTAACAACCATTTGTTCGACCAGTCCTGCAGCTTGTCCAGGTCTTCTTGAAGCCTCAAGCTGTCCTCTTCTGTCTTAATCCTTCTCATAATCACACACGTGTGTGTGTGTGTGTGTGTGTGTGTGTGTGTGTGTATCCATTCTGGCATCATTTGGTGCCACATGACACATGTATGTGTCCTTATTCTGTTTTTGTTATTCAAGACACAGGATTACCTCCTTCGCTCCCTTAAATTTGTATAAATTATGTCCTTGACGAAACATCCTTATTTTGTGTTATTTAATAATAGTTAAATATTAATAGTTTTATATACTGAATATGCTCTATGTAAGATATTTATGATAATATTATTTTCTGATATTATAAAAAAATATTCAACTCAAAATTAACGAGGGAATATCATTAATTTGATAGTCTTATGAATGGAGAGGCTTCTTCTGGAAGTGGAGGTAGAGGACTCTCTTCGCCGGATTAGAGTCACACGTCAACTTTGAAGTGGTTTTGCCTGCCGAGAAGCGCGTACCAACCCAAGCAACCCACCTAACGTATCGAGGCTGCCTGGTCTTAGGCTCCTGCGACAGTGCTAGAACCAAGCGTATTGGCGTCTGCCTTTCCTTAGGACAATTTCAGCAACGTGGAGAGGGGGGGATCTCCTGCATGGGTAACAGCTTCTGCTCCATATCGACCTACCCTGGCTTTGCGCCTTGGAAAGGCCACTCCAGACCGATAGTCAGAGCACAACTCCATAGTCTCATGAGACTGATAGATGCCTACTACTACACTAGTCTTAGGAAGAGTCAATATCGAGGTGCACTTTAATTCCGATAAAGTAAAGGGTAATGAATAGGTGCCAAGTGTGAGAACAGGGGTTCATAGCGGGCACATCCTTGAAATCTAAGGAAGCTAAAATGATCATTAGAGAACCTGTAGTGTACAATGTACTGTGTACAGAACCTGCAGTGTACAATGTACTGTGTACAGAACCTGCAGTCATTAAACTCTACACCATCAAGTGAGCACAACAGCTAAGGCTGAGAGCTGCAAGCATTGACCAAATGCTGAAAATATATTAATTGTCCAGCCTAGTCCCTCGCCTACCAGTCCTTCCATTTGTGCCTCTGCATAGCCAAAAAATTTACAATAGAAAATAAAATTTTCTCGGTGACATGAAGCCTGTATAATATATATATATGCATATATATATATATATATATATATATATATATATATATATATATATATATATATATATATATATATATATAAGCTTATATCGAGTTCAGGATGCAACACAACAGAAATTGCCTAACTCCTGGGTACCTATTTACTGTTAGATGAACAGAGGAATTAAGTAACTAGAAACGTGATTTACCTTTGCTGTGTCTATTCTCCCTGCCTTTGACGATATGGTATCTATTTCGTAAGTGGGACATGTCGCAACGCATGCGCAGTGAAGGCCGGCGGCTCGGTCTTAAAGTGGGTATAAATTGGCGGGAAGAATGCCGAAGAGTCAACAGTGGTCGTTGAGACCTTGAGTAACCTGTAGTCGTCGCTATGAAGCTGTTACTTGCCTCCCTGGCGGCAGTCGTTCTCGCAGGTAAGACTTTCAGCTCCTTCCTGGTCTCATGCACGCTGTTGATGGTGAAATGTTCACTCGAGATCTGATGGACTGTGTTGATGGTGACATGTTCACTCGAGATACCCGAGTGAGACGAGCCACCCAACCTCTGTTTAAACAATAACTACTTATGTGTTCTGTATTTTAATATGAAACTTATTTAGTCACTGTAGACGTGACCAAGTAACATTGCTCCTTGCCCAACAGTTATTTCAATGTTCTCGTTTTTTAGATGCAACACAAAATTTCTTTCCTGTGTCAGATATCATAATGTGTCTTTGAGCGTCATATTGCCCGACACGTTTGTCTCTATATGTATCAATGTGTTTTTTATGTATGTATTAAAGAGGGGTTTTGTGTGTACATGTATAAAAGGTATGTAAATATGTATGTATGTATGTATCAAAGTTATTCTCTGTGTTTTCATCAAAGAATTAACATTTAACAGGGAAGAGAACAGAGACCCCGAAGTGGCTGTATGTGAGAGACTTCAAGAACACCCACTGATTTAGTAGGTAATAATACTGAGTACTGTCCAAGAGAGAATGCTATCTTCAAATCATTAAAGGATAACAATGTCTTAACTGATACAAGTTAATTTCAGAAGTTCATCGTGTTTATAATGTATTCGTTGCCAAATGCGCGACTAGCAGGCAACAGAAGCAAAGGCCGCTGATGGTAACTTTGACAGAAGACCCCACTAGAAGCACTCAACCAGCCTAGGATATTCTTTTCATCACAATAGCATTCAAATGTTCTTGTGTCCGCACACTTTTACCAAGATTATGTTTCCGACAGCATCGGCTGCGAGCGACGGAGTGATGGTGTGTTACTACGGCTCCTGGGCGGTGTACAGGCCGGACAACGGCAAGTTTGACGTGGAGAACATCGACCCGGCCATCTGCACCCACCTCATCTTCGGCTTCGCTGGACTTGGCTCGAACAACCAAATCAAGGTGAGGAGACGTTGGATACGCTGTGATATTTGTCCCTCCAGTGGGCGGTAAATCTGTGCATATGTTGTTTGTATTTTGGTTCTTCCTGGAGAGTTGTTTGTGCAAGACTTTGTGTAACCCAGAGGTACCTCGAGGAGGCAAAGGTAGGCGTGAAGCCTCAATTGACTTCCTCAAATACTTGTAATGGAAGCCTTGTCTAAACAATTCATTGCTCATGCGTCGAAATGTTTCCGGTTCCAGGTACTGGACCCGTACAACGAGCTGTGTGAGAACTACGGCAAGTGTGCCTACGACCGGTTCACCGCGCTTAAGAACAAGAACGCCGACCTTATCACCATCCTGGCCGTCGGAGGCTGGAACGAGGGATCCACCAAGTACTCCAATGTAATGAGGCTTGATTTCATATTATTTTCAGAAAACAAATATTTGTACAACGGTCAATGATAAATATTATTCAGATAACGATAGAGAAGTGTCCCTAATTGATAACTGTGTTACTTGGTAGGAAATATGTAATGTAATATATTTAACCCAGATGGCAGCAGATGCTAACAAGAGAAAGACCTTCGTCGACTCCTCCATTGAGATGTTGAAGACCCACAACTTCGACGGTCTGGACATGGACTGGGAGTACCCGACCCAGCGTGGAGGGAAGCCAGAGGACAAGGTATACCAGTTACATATCTACTGTAACATTAAATACAATGAATTATGGGGGTATTTTGTTATATAGATTTAACAGAATCTAACATACTTATCCTTATCTAGATTATTCAAGGTGTTAAAAAGAGACTGAATGGTCCAACTGACCCGAGAGGATCGTCTGGTAAACTCTGTTAGACTCTTAATGGATCACAGGAACTGACAGACAAGGCAGGTCTCCTCAGGAGGAAGCAACAGTATTGAGACGTTGTGTGTGTGTGATGTCCACAGGTCAACTTCATCAGCCTCCTGTCAGACTTGTACAACGAGCTGCACGCCAACGGTATGATCCTGACGGCCGCCGTGTCCGCCGGTAAGCTGACCATTGATCCTGCCTACGACATCCCCGCCATGGCACAGAATCTTGACCTCATCAACCTGATGGCGTACGACCTGCACGGCGCCTGGGACACCTACACCCACCACCAGTCTGGCCTCTACCAGTATCCTGACGACACCGGCGACAATGTCTACCTCAACCAGGTCAGTCAACTGCCTCTAGTACTTCCATGTTATACCGGCGACACAATGTTTGGTATTCACCTACTCACACATGCGCCTCATAAACACATATTTCTTACATATATTGGAACAGGGTCGAAATATGAATATGAAAATAATAGTATTTATGTGTAAAAGGATCAATAGAGAAGTTCATGGTCATTTATTTACGTGTCAAAAACTTATTATTTCCAAAAGCTCTTGTGTTTCGAGAATCTAAAGTAGAAATCCAATGTCAACATTGAAAGTTATAACATACATAATGAAATTTCAATTATGTGACAAGTCTATGCGAAAATAGGATTGGGTACTTTACCGGTGCCTCTATATTCGTAGTGGGTTAGGGTGGACTCCAGGTTGTGTAACTTTTAGCATGTCATGATGCACGGGTTAAGGCATGCATCTGTATTGACCAGGGATACTGCTTCGATCGAGCCTTCCTGCTCCATGGATTTTATCGTTAAAATGTATGCTAACTTTGGGCAGTAAATTGCATTGTAACTGTTCAAAGAACTGAATGTGCAGGACTTCGCTGTGAGGTACTGGATTGACGGAGGAATGCCGAGCACCAAGATCGCCCTGGGCGTACCTCTCTATGGCCGCTGCTGGAAGCTGGACTACAGCACAGATGAGAACGGTTACTATGCCCCAGCCAGCCAGCCAGGACCTGCAGGACCCTTCACTAGGAGCCCCGGGTTCTTGGGCTATAACGAGGTAATAAACAGCTCGACCACTCGTGTTGTTCAATAATTCAATTCTTGCAGGCTTGGTGATAGTGAGACCTACGATCTTTTAACAATAACATCAACAATACCAGATGCCATAAAGATCCTCACACTTAACTCTCAACTTTATCTGTTACAGATCTGCGAGTTCCAGAAGAACGAGGGTGACTGGGTGATAGAGATCGCGCCGGGCATGAACGAGCCTTACACCTACAGCTACAACCACGAGAGGATCTGGTGCTCCTACGATGACCACGACTCTTGCGTAGTCAAGGTACAGAACAGAATTGGAATCAGGAAATACAATTTTAATTCAAACTTCTTTCGCTTACTGAATAGTTTTGAATACAGTTTTTCTCTTGTCCCTATCAGTGTACCAGGATCTAAGGATATCTAAGGTAGCAGGCTTCAGATATCTTATTGTGCTTCTTACTTGTGCAGGCCAGCTATGCTAAGAGCATGAACCTCGCTGGTATGATGGTCTGGAGCCTGGAGACAGACGACTTCCGCGCCATCTGCAACGACCGCTCCTTCGACCTCATCAAGACTCTGCGTGAGACCTTCACGGGCGAAGTCATTCCCACTCCTCCCACCCCACCCACCACTACTGCTGTAAGTTCTGCCTCATCAACCATTATCCACCATCCTCTCTCTCTCTCTCTCTGTATATTTCATTATTGATAAATACTTAACCCTAACGCTTTGGCTGCTACCAACGCTTATAAGCGTTTTTCGGTAATTTGACATATTTTGCTGTGTTTATAAACAGTGGGGTTGTGACAGTCAGAATAATTTAGTTCTGCTCATGACTTCTATAAATAAACAAAGCAGTTATAATTATGTAAAAACAAGGGTTAATAGACAGACAGTCTAACTGATTAGTGTTCTGGCATAGTGTAATTTAATTCAGCAGTTTCAGGGCTTATAAAGCAAAATTTTTTCAGTTACTATTGATAATAATTTTTTCCTACATTACAGAAAATTAAAGGAATTCTTGTTAGTGTTTATTCTTTTCGACCTCACGACCTTCCTACTGATTCCATCTCTATGTATCTTTTTGTTTATAATTTACAATAATACGAACGAACAAACAAAAAAATAATCATAAAAAATTAATGAAGTTTTTACCAACATTTTATAGAAAATGTTCTTTGCTAATTTGCTTGTTGTTTTTCCCAGGATCCTGATGCTCCGACCACCCCGTCCACCACCACACGGGGACCTCCTCCTCCTGACGGTGTGTGTGAGCAGCCCGGCCTCAACACTGACCCCGACAACTGCCACCACTATTACCTCTGTGCCCCGGTGAGTCCCACTCTCTCTTTTGCACTAGTACCCCCTGAAGCGCAGTGATTCTGCGTAGTCGGGTCACAACCGAACAGTCCAGAGTTCAATTCCAGTGTGGGTGGTTGGAGTCCCACTCTCTTTTGCACTAGTACCCCCTGAAGCGCAGTGATTCTGCGTAGTCGGGTCACAACCAAAAAGTCCAGAGTTCAATTCCAGTGTGGGTGGTTGGAGACAATCGAACACGTTTCCTTTCCACCTAATGCAACTATTCACCTAGCAGTAAATCTTGAGGTTATCTTGAGATGATTTCGGGGCTTTAGTGTCCCCGCGACCGGTCATCGACCAGGCCTCCACCCCCAGGAAGCAGCCCGTGACAGCTGACTAACTCCCAGGTACCTATTTATTGCTAGGTAACAGTTCCCATGTACCAAATAGGTACATGGGAAGCTCAGTAGTTGGCTTTAATGGACGGCGATAATCCTAATAATATATTTAAGTATGTGAATATACTTAAATCCGTCTGGATATTGATACAACTGTCATTTGGAAGAGTTATTGAGATAATGTTATTTGTTTTGGACAATATTGCAAGATTTATTATATGAAGCGAAGAGAATGCTATAATAACGGAAGACAATTAGTTTAATATACCAAACTGAACTTTGTAATGTACTGAACGGCTGTAATTGATTGTTAAAGTTGCCGTATCTTGCGTGGAAGTGATTTTTTAAAATTCACTTCAATTACAAATTGACGTTTTAAAAATCAATTAGTTCTGATATCTTTGTTTAATATGATTCCATACTTTGTGCAAGAACTAAGCTTGTTACCGTTTTCTTAGCCACAAGAACAAAACTTTTTATCATACTTATCTATCCTTAAAACCAAAACGTGTTCTCTGCAGAACACGGAGAACGGATACGACGCCACGGAGGAGGTGTGCCCGGAGGGGACGCTCTTCAACCCCAACGCCAAGATCTGCGACTGGGCCAACTCCGTCTGTGCCATCAGCGGCGCCTGCCTCAACGATTGTCCCTAAAACCTCCACGTCTGTTCCCTGAAGCTCCAGAACTGTTCCTGAACCTTCAAGACTGCCTCTGGACCTCAAGGACTATCAAATAAGCCTCCACGACTGTCCCTGAACCTCCACGACTGTCTCTGAACCTCCACGACTGTCTCTGAACCTCCACGACTGTCTCTGAACCTGAACCTCCACGACTGTCTCTGAACCTCCACGACTGTCTCTGAACCTCAAGGGCTGTCAAATAAACCTCCACGGCTGTCAAATAAGCCTCCACGACTGTCCCTGAACCTCCACGACTGTCCACGACTGTCTCTGAACCTCCACGACTGTCTCTGAACCTCCACGACTGTCCCTGAACCTCCACGACTGTCTCTGAACCTCAAGGGCTGTCAAATAAGCCTCCACGACTGTCCCTGAACCTCCACGACTGTCCCTGAACCACCACGACTATTCCTGAATCTCCACGACTAGCCCGGGGCTCCAACGACCCTCCCCTGGACCGACCTACTAATTGTAACCCACTCCCTCATACTGCTTCCCGTGAGCCTCATAATGCTGTGCCGGGAATATATACTTGTATACGTGTGCAGTTTGTTGTAATATTGTGGTACATATTTGTGAAGAATAAAATGTGTTTTGATACAACAGTGTTTAGATCCCTAACACTTAAGGTTACGGTTAAGGAAAGTGGTCAATTGTCTCGCTCAAGTGGTTAAGGATGAAACAGCCGAAGTGTGGGAAGCCATTGAGGCTCTGTGGGGAACTGTTGGGTACTGTGGGGTACTATGGGGTACTATGGGGTACTGTGGGGAACTGTGGGGTACTGTGGGGTACTGTGGGGAACTGTTGGGTACTGTGGGGTACTGTGGGGAACTGTGGGGAACTGTGGGGAACTTTGGGGTACTGTGGGGAACTGTGAGGTACTGTAGGGAACTGTGGGGTACTGTGGGGAACTGTGGGGAACTGTGGGGAACTTTGGGGTACTGTGGGGAACTGTGAGGTACTGTGGGGAACTGTGAGGAACTGTGGGGTACTGTGGGGAACTGTGGGGTACTGTGGGGAACTGTGGGGAACTGTTGGGTACTGTGGGGTACTGTGGGGTACTGTGGGGTACTGTGGGGTACTGTGGGGAACTGTGGGGTACTGTGGGGTACTGTGGGGTACTGTGGGGTACTGTGGGGTACTGTGGGGTACTGTGGGGTACTGTGGGGTACTGTGGGGTACTGTGGGGAACTGTGGGGTACTGTGGGGAACTGTGGGGTACTGTGGGGTACTGTGGGGAACTGTGGGGAACTGTGGGGTACTGTGGGGTACTGTGGGGTACTGTGGGGAACTGTGGGGTACTGTGGGGAACTGTTGGGTACTGTGGGGTACTGTGGGGTACTGTGGGGAACTGTGGGGTACTGTGGGGTACTGTGGGGAACTGTTGGGTACTGTGGGGAACTGTGGGGTACTGTGGGGTACTGTGGGGAACTGTTGGGTACTGTGGGGTACTGTGGGGTACTATGGGGTACTGTGGGGAACTGTGGGGAACTGTGGGGTACTCTGGGGTACTGTGAGGTAATGTGGGGTACTGTGGGGATTTTTGGCTACTGTGGGGTACTGTGGGGTACTATGGGGTACTGTGGGGAACTGTGGGGTACTGTTGGGTACTGTGGGGTACTGTGGAGTACTGTGAGGTACTGTGGGGTACTGTGGGGTACTGTGGGGAACTGTGGGGTACTGTGGGGTATTGTGGGGTACTATGGGGTACTGTGGGGAACTGTGGGGTACTGTTGGGTACTGTGGAGTACTGTGGGGAACTGTGGGGTACTGTGGGGAACTGTTGGGTACTGTGGGGAACTGTTGGGTACTGTTGGGTACTGTGGGGAACTGTGGGGAACTGTTGTTGGGTACTGTGGGGTACTGTGGGGAACTGTGGGTACTGTGGGGTACTGTGGGGACCTGTGGGGAACTGTTGGGTACTGTGGGGTACTGTTGGGTACTGTGGGGTACTGTGGGGAACTGTGGGGAACTGTGGGGTACTGTGGGGAACTGTTGGGTACTGTGGGGTACTGTGGGGAACTGTTGGGTACTGTGGGGTACTGTTGGGTACTGTGGAGTACTGTGGGGTACTGTGGGGTACTGTTGGGTACTGTGGGGTACTATGGGGTACTGTGGGGTACTGTGGGGAACTGTTGGGTACTGTGGGGAACTGTTGGGTACTGTGGGGTACTGTTGGGTACTGTGGAGTACTGTTGGGTACTGTGGGGTACTGTTGGGTACTGTGGGGTACTATGGGGTACTGTGGGGTACTGTGGGGTACTGTGGGGAACTGTGGGGAACTGTTGGGTACTGTGGGGAACTGTTGGGTACTGTGGGGAACTGTGGGGAACTGTTGGGTACTGTGGGGTACTGTTGGGTACTGTGGGGTACTGTGGGGTACTGTGGGGAACTGTGGGGTACTGTGGGGAACTGTGGGGTACTGTGGGGAACTGTGGGGAACTGTTGGGTACTGTGGGGTACTGTGGGGAACTGTGGGGTACTGTGGGGTACTGTGGGGAACTGTGGGGAACTGTTGGGTACTGTGGGGTACTGTTGGGTACTGTGGAGTACTGTGGGGTACTGTGGGGTACTGTGGGGAACTGTTGGGTACTGTGGGGTACTGTGGGGTACTGTGGGGTACTGTGGGGAACTGTTGGGTACTGTGGGGTACTGTGGGGAACTGTGGGGTACTGTGGGGTACTGTGGGGAACTGTTGGGTACTGTGGGGTACTGTTGGGTACTGTTGGGTACTGTGGGGTACTGTTGGGTACTGTGGGGTACTGTTGGGTACTGTGGGGTACTGTTGGGTACTGTTGGGAACTGTGGGGTACTGTTGGGTACTGTGGGGTACTGTTGGGTACTGTGGGGTACTGTGGGGAACTGTTGGGAACTGTGGGGTACTGTTGGGTACTGTGGGGTACTGTGGGGAACTGTGGGGAACTTTGGGGTACTGTGGGGTACTGTGGGGAACTGTGGGGAACTTTGGGGTACTGTGGGGAACTGTGGGGAACTGTGGGGTACTTTGGGGAACTGTGGGGTACTGTTGGGTACTGTGGGGTACTGTGGGGTACTGTGGGGTACTGTTGGGTACTGTGGGGAACTGTGGGGTACTGTTGGGTACTGTTGGGTACTATGGGGTACTGTGGGGAACTGTGGGGAACTGTGAGGTACTGTGGGTAACTGTGGGGAACTGTGGGGTACTGTGGGGAACTGTGGGGAACTGTTGGGTACTGTGCGGTACTGTGGGGTACTGTGGGGAACTGTGGGGTACTGTGGGGTACTGTGGGGAACTGTTGGGTACTGTGGGGTACTGTGGGGAACTGTTGGGTACTGTGGGGAACTGTGGGATACTGTGGGGAACTGTGGGGAACTGTTGGGTACTGTGGGGAACTGTGGGGAACTGTGGGGAACTGTTGGGTACTGTGGGGTACTGTTGGGTACTGTGGGGTACTGTGGGGTACTGTGGGGAACTGTGGGGTACTGTGGGGTACTGTTGGGTACTGTGGGGTACTGTTGGGTACTGTGGGGAACTGTTGGGTACTGTGGGGTACTGTGGGGTACTGTGGGGAACTGTTGGGTACTGTGGGGTACTGTGGGGAACTGTTGGGTACTGTGGGGTACTGTTGGGTACTGTGGGGAACTGTGGGGTACTGTGAGGTACTGTGGGGAACTGTGGGGAACTGTGGGGTACTGTGGGGTACTGTGGGGAACTGTTGGGTACTGTGGGGTACTGTGGGGAACTGTGGGGAACTGTTGGGTACTGTGGGGAACTGTGGGGAACTGTTGGGTACTGTGGGGAACTGTGGGGAACTGTGGGGAACTGTGGGGTACTGTGAGGTACTGTGGGGTACTGTGGGGTACTGTGGGGTACTGTGAGGTACTGTGGGGAACTGTGGGGTACTGTGAGGTACTGTGGGGAACTGTGAGGTACTGTGGGGTACTGTGGGGTACTGTGGGGAACTGTGGGGTACTGTTGGGTACTGTGGGGTACTGTAGGGTACTGAGGGGAACTGTGGGGAACTGTGGGGAACTGTTGGGTACTGTGCGGTACTGTGGGGTACTGTGGGGAACTGTGGGGTATTGTGAGGTACTGTGGGGTACTGTGAGGTACCGTGGGGTGCTGTGGGGATACTGTGGGGTACTGTGGGGAACTGTGGGGTACTGTGAGGTACTGTGGGGTACTGAGTTCTGTGAGCATAATAATAGTCTTCCGTCATGGTAGCTTGAGACGCCAGGTCCAGGATTCAACAACCACTTTCGAAACCTCTACATCTTTCCTCCATCGTGGACACTTTGCTGACATTAAAGAGTTCACGAGCTTGGAGACCTTACAACCCCGGGTTATTATGGTTATATACAACCTCGTAGTGCTCTGGAGCTCATAACCTGTTTATTAAATGTAAACACAGCCCCAGATGATTGAGGAAAGATGTACAGGTTCCGTAACTGGTTGTGTAAATGCTTGGTGTATCCCAGATCTTCCAGAGCTGACGGATACAACAGCTTTAGTGTCCCAGATCCCATACAACAACAGTTGTAGTATACGTAACAGGAGCACATGTATAAGTAACAGGAGCACATGTATAAGTAACAGGAGCACCTGTATAAGTAACAGGAGCACCTGTATAAGTAACAGGAGCACATGTATAAGTAACAGGAGCACCTGTATAGGTAACAGGAGCACCTGTATAAGTAACAGGAGCACATGTATAAGTAACAGGAGCACATGTATAAGTAACAGGAGCACATGTATAGGTAACAGGAGCACCTGTATAAGTAACAGGAGCACATGTATAAGTAACAGGAGCACATGTATAAGTAACAGGAGCACCTGTATAAGTAACAGGAGCACATGTATAAGTAACAGGAGCACCTGTATAGGTAACAGGAGCACCTGTATAGGTAACAGGAGCACCTGTATAGGTAACAGGAGCACCTGTATAGGTAACAGGAGCACCTGTATAGGTAACAGGAGCACCTGTATAGGTAACAGGAGCACCTGTATAGGTAACAGGAGCACATGTATAGGTAACAGGAGCACCTGTATAGGTAACAGGAGCAGCTTATCCGTTCCGGTTATGAGGAAGTAACATGCGCTACAGCACTGTGCTACTTGTGGCTGTGCTTGCACTATAGAGGCACCGTTCTTGAGCCCGGATGGGCACATGTATAAGCAAGTAGATGGGGTCGCCATGGGTTCTCCCCAAGGTGTCCTGTTTGCGAACTTCTACATGGGTACCATCGAGCAGAGGGTCTTAGTTGACATGAACTTGAAACCCGTCATATACTGCAGGTATGTTGACGACATTTTTACACAGGTACCTGATGTCAGACATCTGCAGGAGCTGAAGGAGGCATTTGAACAGAATTCTGTGTTGTTTCACATACGAGATGAAGAATAATGGGAAGCTGCTCTTTCTGGATGTAACAGTCACGGAAAAGAGTGGAGGCTTCCACACTACAGTCTACACTAAGGAAACAAACATAGGAATGTGCCTCAATGCCAATAGTGACTGCCCAGACAGGTACAAGAGGAGTGTTGTCAACGCTTACGTCGACCGTGCTCTCAGCCACAGCTCAGGATAGAAAGAAGTCGATGAAGAACTCTGTAGGGTAAGGCAGGTCCTAGTTAACAACGGCTTCTCTAATGGTTTCGTTGAAGACATCATCAAAAGAAAGGTGAAACGCCAAGCAACCTCTGAAGAGTCAATCAACACAACACATGTACCCCCTATTAGACTATTTTACAGGAACTTCTTCTCGACGGCTCATAAGATGGAGGAAAGGGTCCTGAAAGATATTGTTGATAGGAACGTCATCCCTACAGACAAAAAATCAGAAAATACAATTGATAATTTATTATAAAACCAAAAAAACGGCCAATCTACTCATGAAAACTCCCCAGACACAAAGCAGAACGCTTTGAAGGAAACCAACGTCGTCTATGCCTTTTAATGCCCACTTGGGGACTGTAAGCCCCAAAGAACTTAGTATATAGGCAAGACAACAACGTCTCTTTCCAGGCGACTAACAATGCATAAACAACAGGACTCCATTAAGGAACATATAATCTCTTCCCACAACCAGACCATCACCAGAGAAATCTTAACAAGCAACACAGAAATCATCGATAGATACAGCGATAGCAGGCGGCTTGACATCAGTGAGGCACTACACATCAAAAAGTCAACACCAGCAATCAACAGCCAATTAATGCACAACCATATTCTACCCACTTCAATGCCCCGTATGGGGCCAATTGGCACTTTGCAGTTACTTCCATTCTCATGTACCCACCTCACCCAAACCAATAAAAAGTGAGGGTTATGTCAAATGTTTCATACACAGTGCATCAAGTGAATCATAAAATTGTAGTTCATAAGTGTAGTGTTAAGTGTAAAGAAATCTTTGAGAAGGTAAGAAGCCCTTTCGAAACGCTTCTAGGCGTCAGACCATTAATAAAAAATGAATTTTGGAGAATTGATATTTTCATTACCACCGACAGTGAAGAAAAACATAAGAAATATTGAAAAAAATCGTGTTAGAATTATTAATCTTACTTGTTCGGTCATATTCAACAACATATGTTTACAAGAAAGACGGCTACCATATATATATATATATATATATATATATATATATATATATATATATATATATATTCGCTGTATATAACTTGCGTATATATCATGTATATGTATTTGGTGCGTATATATATATGCCATGGATATGTATCTGGTGTATATACTCACTATGCATATATACACCTGGAAGAGCCAATCAGCGTGTGGGAAAAGGCACAGGTGAAGATGTTGCCAACACAACACTGCCGTTGCTTATCACAGGCTCGTCCTTGCGTACCGGATAAAGCAAAAGTCCTTCTAGCAACACTTGTTCTGTAATTGGTGTTGCAGACTCTAAATAGTGTTGCAAGGGGCTGCAATACTTAAAACTAGTCAAGTAGTTATAGGTATTGTAGCTTATAATTATATAAAAAGTCTTTAATTAAAAATAAGTTTTTAATTATAAAAAAGTTTTTAATTATAAACAAGAGTTTTTAATTATAAAAAAATGTTTTTAATTAAAAAAATAGTTTTACTTATAAAAAAGTTTTTAATTATAAAAAGTTTTTAATTGTAAAAAAGTTTTTAAATATAAAAAAGTTTTTAATTATAAAAAAGTTTTTAATTATAAAAAAGTTTTTAATTATAAAAAAGTTTTTAAATATATTTATTATAATTATAAATAGTTATACAAATTATGATGTTAGTGTTGAAAGGGTTAGTTATTGTCACTATAAGCCTAGTCCTACATAACGTAATCTAACACACTATAGCCTAACCTATTCTAATCACATCTAGCCTAACTTAGTGTTACCTACCCTAACTTAGCCTAACCTAAATTAAAGTATCCTAATGTAACCTAACCTAATCTAGATTAACCTAACCCAACTTAGCCTAACCTTACTAAACCTAATTTTACGAAGCCTAACGTTAACTTTTCATTATTTTTGTTGAGACTTAGCTCTCGGTCCAGGTACTGGAACCGGTTCGGTTATTCAGCTCCATGGTTCCCCAGGCCTAGAACATGATCCGGCCAGTGTTTTACAATCAGTTCCTAAACTTCTACCTGGGGAAACAGTAAAGTAACAGTGCCCAATTGTTCCTCTGTGCACAAGGGGTTCGAACCACAAAGTGCTGGAACAGGTCACAGAAATGTTAGGAGTGACCTGGAGAGTGAAGAGGAAGACTCCATATACAGATTCAAAAAACTAAAAATAAATAAAAAATCCAAAAAGATTCACGATCCAGTCAAATGAGGTTTGAAAGTAGGGACCCAGGAGCTGAAGCATAGTACAGTTGGCTTCGTTCTCAACTTACAATCAAGGATTCAGGATTTAATTCCCCATTGGGACAAATAATTGGTCAAAGTGAGGTTAAAATCTTTTCGCCTAATTCCTCTGTTCACCTAACAGTGAACCACTGTCCCACAGAGTAGGAAACTGTTATATATTAGATCAATGCCCTGTAATGTACCTTTGAGAAAAAATTGAGACCGTTTGTTGGGTTCGAACTTGCGAATATGGACTTCACCAGGCCACTGAACTATGGACTTCGGAGGCCAGAGACACAGGTTCGATCCCATTCCATGGCTTCATTATTTTTTCTCGAAGATATTTTCTTTGTATTCAAATCCTGAATAATGAAAAATATACTACAATATCACATTCAATTAAAAAAAAAATGCAAAGTAAAATCTATATGAAATAGATTTTCTATATGAAATCCATCAAAAACGTAAAAAAAATAAGCAGTCAAATCGTAAATAATTAGTCTTTATAACAGTGAAAAAAATAGACCAACCGTTTTTTTCATCATTTTTTTACACAATCGAATCCTGAAACAAAAAAAAAAGTGAAATTATTACTAATTAGTTTAAACAACAGCCAAAAAATATGGTCCACGATTGTTTTTTGTCATTTTTTGTGTGTGTAAGGGGCAAGGAGAGGCCGGCCGGGCCTGATACCAGTATCTGTTGCAGCTGTCGAGTCTTCAACCCGGGGCGTGGGACCGGCCCAGCCCGCCCCTTACTGACGCGGGCGCCCTCGCTCCTCCAGGTGTATATATATGTGGCCTCACAGCGGCTCCCGGAGACGCAGTCAGCGCTGCAACACCTTCCAGGAAACATCTGACAAACACCTGTCACTATGAGGCTCTTACTCCTGTCGGCGGCGACGGCCCTGCTGGCACTCTCAGGTGAGATATACCACTCTAGTCTCCTTCACTCTGGTGAGATCTTGATGGCGGTGAGGCCTTCACTCTGGTGAGACCTTGATGGCGGTGAGGCCTTAACTCTGGTGAGACCTTGATGGCGGTGAGGCCTTCACTCTGGTGAGACCTTGATGGCGGTGAGGCCTTCACTCTGGTGAGACCTTGATGGCGGTGAGGCCTTCACTCTGGTGAGACCTTGATGGCGGTGAGTCCTTCACTCTGGTGAGATCTTGATGGCGGTGAGGCCTTCACTCTGGTCATTGATGAGACATTTACTCTGGTTAATAAGGAGACCTTCAGCCTGGCTAACTAGGGAAACATTCACTCTGGTTAATGGCGAAATATTCACTCTAGCTAATAGTGAAAGTCAATCTGGCTATTCTCTCTGGCTAATGGTGAAAAATTCACTCTGGCTCTTCACTATGGTTAATGATGAAACATTCAATTTGGATATTGATGGAATCTTCACAGTGATTATTGAAGAAACTTTAATGAAACGTTCAATGATGCGACATTCACTCTGGGTAATGGTGAAACATTCACTCGAGGTCTATTGAACTGTGTGGATCTGTAAGTCACTGAGGACTCTTAAATGTTGTAATATATATTGACCATAATTTTTTACTTATTTTTATAATTAATTATAGCCACAGGGACATTAAATCCACCTGTTGAAATTATTAAATTAATTAGTGTGTGTCAGAGTGCACGTGCTAGCCAGAGTGCACTGTATTATAGCAATAAATCTGTTAGTGTATCCTGGTTATAGAGGACACAGAATAACCTCTCCTGACGCATAATGTAACGTGTCTATTACGTTTTCGAGAGTAAAACGTAAGAATTGCGAAGGTTTAGTGGATTTTTGAAATGCTGGGAAAATGACGTTTCTTGAGACTAGTGAGGATTGGTTTTAGTAGGTTAGGTGGGTTGATTAGGTTGGTACGCTCCTGGTTGGGTGAAACCACTTCATTTTTAACGGTTAACACATGGTGTGAACTGCTACAGTCAACTGGGTCCAGTACAGCAGTGGAAGTCCTGTAACCAGGACCTGCTCAGTCATCATGTCGTCCCTTACTTTATATACAATCACCTCTGAGGAGATAATATCTAAAGTTTCCTGAAGACCCTTACTCCACAGGATTACCACTTAATCCCTCTCTGTTCACACTAAAAGAAGCCTCACCCACTTGGGCAGGACGGTAGAGCGACGGTCTCGCTTCATGCAGGTCGGCGTTCAATCCCCGACCGTCTAAGTGGTTGGGTACACTTGCTCTCCCTCCGTAGCACTCCAAATCTTTATCCTGACCTCTTCCAAGTGCTATATAGTCGTAATGGCTTGGAGCTTTTACCCCCTGATCCTTCCCTTTCCCTCCCTGACACTGGGAGGGATATGGTATACGCTCTACGGTATACTACACATGGACCAAGACCAAAATAAACTCTTGGTGTACATACACCGTGAACTGGGGTATACCTCCCTGTGTACATACACCATGAACTGGGGTATACCTCCCTATGTACATACACCATGAACTGGGGTATACCTCCCTGTGTACATACACCGTGAACTGGGGTATACCTCCCTGTGTACATACACCATGAACTGGGGTATACCTCCCTATGTACATACACCATGAACTGGGGTATACCTCCCTGTGTACATACACCGTGAACTGGGGTATACCTCCCTGTGTACATACACCATGAACTGGGGTATACCTCCCTGTGTACATACACCGTGAACTGGGGTATACCTCCCTGTGTACATACACCGTGAACTGGGGTATACCTCCCTGTGTACATACACCATGAACTGGGGTATACCTCCCTGTGTACATACACCGTGAACTGGGGTATACCTCCCTGTGTACATACACCGTGAACTGGGGTATACCTCCCTGTGTACATACACCGTGAACTGGGGTATACCTCCCTGTGTACATACACCGTGAACTAGGGTATACCTCCCTGTGTACATACACCGTGAACTGGGGTATACCTCCCTGTGTACATACACCGTGAACTAGGGTATACCTCCCTGTGTACATACACCGTGAACTGGGGTATACCTCCCTGTGTACATACACCGTGAACTGGGGTATACCTCCCTGTGTACATACACCGTGAACTAGGGTATACCACTCCCTCAACTATGACTTTCGAAATCAGACTCGAGATTTGCTATTCAAATTGAACAGTTTAACACAAAGCTGCATAACTAATTTGCCACGAAATAACATAATTAAATTGCCACTAAACAATATAAGCAATCCAACACGTAATCATCGCTTGGTCAGAAGACACCACTCATCCACAACTCATACTACTTCATCTCATCCCCACTAAAGTTGCCTTGTGTTATCTGTTAACAAGATTATGTTTCCGACAGCATCGGCCGCGAGCGACGGAGTGATGGTGTGTTACTACGGCTCCTGGGCGGTGTACAGGCCGGACAACGGCAAGTTTGATGTAGAGGACATCGACCCGGCCATCTGCACCCACCTCATCTTCGGCTTCGCTGGACTTGGCTCCGACAACAAGATCAGGGTGAGCAGGTTTTTGGACTTGGTTTAGCATTCCTTCCACGGATATATCCATTCTCAGTCTTCTTTTCTATCGCCTTATGCCCCCTGTTACCAAGCAGTAAAATAGGTACCTGGGTGTTAGTCAGCTGTCACGGGTTGCTTCCTGGGGGTGGAGGCCTGGTCGAGGACCGGGCCGCGGGGACACTAAAGCCCCGAAATCATCTCAAGATAACCTCAAGATTCAAAATGGTAAACACAGAAATTGGGAACTTATTCCAGTGAAGAAAACGGGAATACTAGCAGACTGAGAGGACTAACTCAATAAATATGCCAAGTTTGCCCTGATAAAACACTTCTGTTGCTCATTAATGAGAAAATCTGCATAAATACTCAGAAGTAAATTAATTTGTAATGATTCTTATTCCCTCAAAATGCAGATTACAACGTGGAAAGGTTTAGGGGTTCGATTCCCTCGGCAGGGCAGAGGCGGTTAGGCAGTGTTTCCTTTCACTTGATGCTTCTATTTGCCTAGCAGTCAATAGGAACCCGGGAGTTAGGAAGCTGTTGTGGGTTGTATCCCAGGGAACGTATTTATTTGTATTGTGTATTTATTTTTAGCTAAAAAATATAAAAAAAACAAAATTTATATTTTTTCTAAATTAACTAAATATATAAAATTAATGGATTTTGTAATTAAAAACATATTTATATATGAAATGTAGTGCACAACGTCATTTTGGTGGCGTAAGTCGCGATCAATAAATGAGTAAAGTAAAGCTTCATTCATCAATTGATGAGTGATTAATTGATTAATCACTCTAAGGATTAATAAGTTTTCAAGTTGTGACTAAAAAAATAAGTTTACTAAACTTACAGATAAGTGAACAAATTTATTTGCGATAGTTTATGTCAGAATAATTTTTCATTGCTTTTAGCAAAAAGTAAGTTTAAATTAGAGGGCGAAAGCTATTGGGCACATTACTTTAAGGGCTCTATATTAAGTAGTAAGTTTGTCATTCTAAATTGCTTTAAGGTGTTACAAGCCAGAGTCTGTAACATACTGACAGCTACGAATTGCATTTTTCATTCGTTACAAACTGGAGTTTCTATTAACTAGATGTGAAATGATGGGAATCACTAGCATGTTATTATTTATTACAGGTAATGAGTAATAATTACTCAGGATGGGTCGGGTAATAGTTTAAGATCACTTATTCATTTATGGAGGTCAATAATACGGAGATTAGGTAGCTTTATTTAGAGTTTTTCACTTTAATCGTGTCATTCGAACCTAAGTTTCTTCAGTCAGGGTGTTCAATATTTTGAACCCTTCTGTTGAAAAATTAGTCTCAACGCCATAGCTAGTTTAGCTGTGCATCGGTATTCTTATACGTATTGTCGTATTTTAATGTATTTTCTATCGTATTTATCTATGGAAGAGTCATAATATTAACTCTGTGTTGGTATGGGAGCTTAGGGGGTCCTGTAGATGGGTAGTGAACATTATGTGATCTTCCAGGTACTGGACCCGTACAACGAGCTGTGTGAGAACTACGGCAAGTGCGCCTACGACCGGTTCAACGCACTTAAGAACAAGAACGCCGACCTTATTACCATCCTGGCCGTCGGAGGCTGGAACGAGGGATCCACCAAGTACTCCAATGTGAGTCTCGTCCTCTCAACATCCACAACTCTTGTGTTTTTTGTTCAGTTGTTAATCACAATTAACAACTTTATGGATGTTTGGTTATATTATCTTTTTTCTTTAATGTTTAAGATCACTTATTTACTTATTCAACACTGTGCCTGGTGGTGCCTGGGTCGACCCAGGGCACTACCCACACATACTTCCTCACAGTAACTATCTTCAATACACTCTGTGTTCGGCACTGTAAACATCTTCATATCATCTTCATCCCCTCCCAACCCCATCCCACATATCTTTCATCCATGTCTCTACCCTAGGGGAGCCGGTCAACCGAGCGGACAGCACGCTGGACTTGTGATCCTGTGGTTCTGGGTTCGATCCCAGGCGCCGGCGAGAAACAATGGGCAGAGTTTCTTTCACTCTATGCCCCTGTTACCTAGCAGTAAAATAGCTACCAGGGTGTTAGTCAGCTGTCACGGGCTGCTTCCTGGGGGTGGAGGCCTGGTCGAGAACCGGGCCGCGGGGACACTAAAAAGCCCCAAAATCATCTCAAGATAACCTCAAGATAGCCCTCGTGGATTTTCTCATAATATTGATGTTAAACTCTAGGGACTTTGAGTGGCACATTTCATATCTGATTTCCTTGGTTTACATAGATTACCTGACCTTGCGGCGGCTACCCGGCGTTCATTCCGGTGGTCAAGGTCCTCCTAAATAACGAGGAAGGATAAAAGGAGAAAACCAGGAGCCAAACTTTTGTATTGAGAAGCAGACCGATGAAAACTATTGTGGGATAAGTTTTAACAATTATATCTCTGTACCTAGATGGCGGCAAGCGCTGCATCAAGGCAGACCTTCGTCGACTCCTCCATTGAGATGTTGAAGACCCACAACTTCGACGGTCTGGACATGGACTGGGAGTACCCGACCCAGCGTGGAGGGAAGCCAGAGGACAAGGTATACCAGTTACATATCTACTGTAACATTAAATACAATGAATTATGGGGGTATTTTGTTATATAGATTTAACGGAATCTAACAGACTTATCCTTATCTAGATTATTCTAGGTGTTAAAAAGAGACTGAATGGTCCAACTGACCCGAGAGGATCCTCTGGTAAACTCTGTTAGACTCTTAATGGATCACAGGAACTGACAGACAAGGCAGGTCTCCTCAGGAGGAAGCAACAGTATTGAGACGTTGTGTGTGTGTGATGTCCACAGGTCAACTTCATCAGCCTCCTGTCAGACTTGTACAACGGGCTGCACGCCAACGGTATGATCCTGACGGCCGCCGTGTCCGCCGGTAAGCTGACCATTGACCCCGCCTACGACATCCCCGCCATGGCAGAGAATCTTGACCTCATCAACCTGATGGCGTACGACCTGCACGGCGCCTGGGACACCTACACCCACCACCAGTCTGGCCTCTACCAGTATCCTGACGACACCGGCGACAACGTCTACCTCAACCAGGTCAGTCAACTGCCTAGACGTCAGTACTTCTGGAGATGTGGACCTAAAAAATTAATCGCCTTATAAAGGCGACTTATAAACACATATATTACTAGTATTCGCAATGAATTGTGTCATTGTTTTCAAGAAACAGTTACTTGGAAGCTTTGTAACCATTTAGTTTTCAATTATATACTTCGGCGATATTTTCCTAGGTTCTTGTGATTCGAGAAAGCAAAGTTCAAATCTTAAGTCGGTGATGATGGGGACCCATAACTTAAAAAATATATGCTGTTATATTCATCGTGATGCCAATATGAATAGTTTCATCGCTCTAAGGCACTTTATGGTGTGTGTTTGCGCAGGACTTCGCTGTGAGGTACTGGATTGACGGAGGAATGCCGAGCACCAAGATCGCCCTGGGCGTACCCCTCTATGGCCGCTGCTGGAAGCTGGACTACAGCACAGATGAGAACGGTTACTATGCCCCAGCCAGCCAGCCAGGACCTGCAGGACCCTACACCAGGAGCCCCGGGTTCTTAGGCTACAACGAGGTAAGGAACAGCTCGACCTCTTGTGATGTTCAATAATGCAATTGTTGCAGGCTTGGTGATAGTGAGAGACCTATAATCTTTTCAACAATACCAGATGCCAGAAAGACCATCATACTTAACTCTCAAGTTTATCTGTTACAGATCTGCGAGTTCCAGAAGAACGAGGGTGACTGGGTGATAGAGATCGCGCCGGGCATGAACGAGCCTTACACCTACAGCTACAACCACGAGAGGATCTGGTGCTCCTACGATGACCACGACTCTTGCGTAGTCAAGGTACAGAACAGAATTGGAATCAGGAAATACAATTTTAATTCAAACTTCTTTCGCTTACTGAATAGTTTTGAATACAGTTTTTCTCTTGTCCCTATCAGTGTACCAGGATCTAAGGATATCTAAAGTGGCAGGCTTCAGATATCTTATTGTGCTTCTTACTTGTGCAGGCCAGCTATGCTAAGAGCATGAACCTGGCTGGTATGATGGTCTGGAGCCTGGAGACAGACGACTTCCGTGCCATCTGCAACGACCGCTCCTTCGACCTCATCAAGACTCTCCGGGAGACCTTCACGGGCGAAGTCATTCCCACTCCTCCCACCCCACCCACCACTACTGCTGTAAGTTCTGCCTCTTGAATAATAATTTTTTATTTGGTTTCCATTGATATGTACAGCAGGTGACGTCTGACTTTTGCTACCAGGCTAACCTCTTAATGGAGCTGCTATTCAAAAGTCTTTGGTCGAGGTGGGTCAAAATAGTTAAGAAATCAAATGGGAAAAATCACATATGGCGGTTTGAGCAGTGAAAGGGTTAAGAGCTTTCTCTCTCCATGCATCATCATGCAGCCCGTCTTCTTGAGTTGCCACAATGGACAAAAGTTTATAAAGGACAAAAGTTTATCTAACCTAACCGATTACACAGAAAGAGTGGTAATTTGTGAGCATTCATGATTCATAGTATGCCGTATTTTGTCCAATGGGGATTTTTTCATCAAAATACGCTGTATTATATGAAAGGACAGGTTCCATCATGAACCTTGCCCTACTAGCTGACTGGAACACGACCCCACCGACTCTCTGGGATACCCGGGGATGTTAGGTGGGGGGGGGGGGAGGGAGAGTGTCCTGAAGTGCACCTTGAGCAGGTACGCACGCTCTCTCCACCCGTCCTAACATACAGTAAGCAGAAAATATAATTTGTAACTTTTCCATTCACATTTATATCAAAATCAATTAGTACAACTCTATATCTCCACTCCATATAATTATTGGTCTCAAGTGATGAATCTCTACCACCATCCTCCTCAAGGGTTATAACCACAGCTCCACCATATTCCTGACCTGATGTAAGGGCTCTGTGGTCAAATGTGAACGACGATTCTTAGCAACACCTTCCGGATTCTATAGTTCAGAACAGAAACATTTTGGCAGCATTTTCTTTGATTTCATGCCTCTGTTTCCTATTAGTAAATGATGATGATGATATCTATATATATAGATGCACAATAGCTGCTTAGGCCCCTGACACAATGTATTATAATTATATATTCTAATATACTTTTCCTCCGCAGGATCCTGATGCTCCGACCACCACCTCCACCACCACACGGGGACCTCCTCCTCCTGACGGTGTGTGTGAGCAGCCCGGCCTCAACACTGACCCCGAAAACTGCCACCACTATTACCTCTGTGCCCCGGTGAGTCCCACTCTCTTTTGCATTAGTACCCCCTGAATCGTTCTAGAAATAGTACTTACTGCTCTACCCACAGCAATATAAAAATTCTAAGAAAACTTCAAATCTGGTAAATGGTGTTTACATAACGGGAGACAACGAAGCTCCGGTATCATCATTACCAATGGCTCCGGTGACCCATTGGTAATGTAGCTGGTTACTTGCCGTGATCTTTGTGAACACTGGTTAACGATTACTACCAACTGACATACTAGAACCCAGGTCATTTGGTATGCTGGAAGTCAAGTCAGTTAGTACATTGGATGCCCAATCAGTTAGCAGGCTAGAAGTCCAATCAGTCAGTATGCTGGAAGCCCAATCAGTCAGTATGCTGGAAGCCCAATCGGTTTTGCTCATGAGACCAAAAGTGAGTAATGTCATTCAAATAACCTACCTTTCGTCAGTTCTTAAAAATATTGTTTTCGTAATCTGAATTAGCATCCGGAGAAATTTCGTATTAGCGTCTAGAGAAAAATTTGGCCTAGGAACCTGGAGACAGGATTCTGGGTGAAAAGAATTTCACCCAGAAGAAATTAGTCCTATCAACCAGAGAAGATTAGCATCTGGGAAAATTACCGTTTGAGTGATTTGCAACGGAATACATATTCTCACTTTTGTTATTGTTATCCCTAAAACCAAAACGTGTTCTCTGCAGAACACGGAGAACGGATACGACGCCACGGAGGAGGTGTGCCCGGAGGGGACGCTCTTTAACCCCAACGCCAAGATCTGCGACTGGGCCAACTCCGTCTGTGCCATCAGCGGCGCCTGCCTCAACGATTGTCCCTAAAGCCTCCACGTCTGTCCCCTGAAGCTCCAGAACTGTTCCTGAACCTCCACGACTGCGTCTGGACCTCAAGGACTACTCAAATAAGCCTCCGCAACTGTCCATGAACCTCTACGACTATCCCTTTAGCCTCCAGGACTATCCCCGAACCTGCTCGACTGTCCTTGAACCTCCATGACGGTACCTGATTTTCCACGACTGCCCCTAAACCGCTTCAAGTTATGACTGGAGCCTGCCTGTCATGAAGAGAATGGACATTCCATAATGTGTCGTTTTATTCAGTCGATACAATGATCTTTCCTTCAACTTGAGACAAAGTCCCGACTGTTCTATTTACTGTACCGCTCCTATATCCCGAACTTTATGGCACCTATCTGAGACTTTCCAACTTCCTCAAGTTGGGGTTTGTGATTGTTTTGGTATTGAGTGACTGGAAATGCATCAGACTCAAAACTTAACGCTTTTTTTTAACCTTTAATTTCGAGGCAAATATATATTATTTTACAAAGTGATATTGAAGCTGGAGAGTTGCGTCGCACTGAGGTGTGAGAGGTAACTTTACCTTGCAATGATTTCGGAGCTTAGCGTTCCCGCGGCCCGGTCCCCGACCAGGCCTCCTTAACCAGGGTTACTGGAGGTCAGTACGTCTGACGTCAAATAATGTTTTTTCACGATTGAAACTGATGGGAAATGTGTTTTGCAACTCCTATAATTCTATATAATTATATAACTCCTATAATTATCACTGTCAGGATTTGACAGCTCTGTTTAATATTACCAAATGCGAAGATAAATCTTGTCATATATATATATATATATATATATATATATATATATATATATATATATATATATATATATATATATATATATATATATATATATAACTGAAAACTCACACCCCAGAAGTGACTCGAACCCATACTACAGAGAGAGAGAGAGAGAGAGAGAGAGAGAGAGAGAGAGAGAGAGAGAGAGAGAGAGAGAGGGGGGGGGTTGGGGGGGCCAGCGGCCTCTCTCCGCTACAGAGTCTATTGTCTATGATAAATATTGACAATTGAACTGCGAGTTTCTTTTTTCTGCGCATAAAATGGGAGCCAAACAATGTGGGGGATTGTTGCTTCTGGTGAGTCAAGTACAATAACCGGGTGAGGGAGGCGGATTGTTGGAGAGAAGAGGGAGAGAGGAAGGGAAGGAGAGACGGGACTCCCTCCCGCCTCTCCTCTCCCTTTGGAAGGGATGGAACAAGGGAGGGGGGCAGGAAAGTACACACTAACGTGTTGGTGAGAGGGAGGTGCCGACTAGGCTTTTCAAGACTCCACCTGGTTCACGCACCTGTAACGCCACAAGACACCTGTTATAACACCTGTCCGAAGGCGAGAGAAAGGGGGGAGGGGAGAGTGGGAAGGAGAAGGGAAGAGGGGGAGAAGGGTCATGAGAAAGGAATGTTGGAAGAGACGGAAGAAAAGAGGGTACGAGAGATAGATGTGGAAAAGGGATGAGATGGGGAGATGAGGGAGAGGGTTGAGAAAGAAGGAGAGAGACAGAGAGGGAAGGAGCAGGCAGAGGAGAGGGGTGATATTGGTTGAGAGATGAGAAGAGAGAGAGGAAGTGAGGGAGAGAGAGGAAGGGAGGGAGAGAGAGGAAGGGAGGGAGAGAGACCCGTGACCAGCCGGCCACCCCACGTAGCATGACATAAACCAACAATAAAAACAGTAAATACACCAACTACAACAATACATTACACAAACCAACAATACAGTTGGCGAACAAAATACAACAATTCATTGAAAAATACCCTCAAAAACATTTCAGAACAATACAGTAGGCATAAAAATACACCATACAGTAGGCTGAAGAAGCCCACACTCGGTACATTAAGTTAATGATAAATTCTGGGCTGTGTCTGGCTTCGCGTCGTTACAGACCCATTAGGGAAAGGCTTTTATGCCTACCATTAGCGCCGCCGACGCCTCGCTTTTTTACTTTAGTTTATGAAGAAAATGAGCGTAGTAGAAAACGGGAAGAAATGATGCAAAAATAGTTCTCATGTAATTATTTTTTTTACTTATCTAAAATGTACAAAATGTGTATTTATTATATATATATATATATATATATATATATATATATATATATATATATATATATATATATATGTTGTACCTAATAGCTAGAACGCAGTTCTTGGCCTACTATGCAATGAATGGAAATGGACTCATCTGGGTACTAAGTTTCTACCTGTGTACCCTTGTTCGTGTTCCACCCGTGCTGAAGAGTTTGTCTTTGTCCACCCTGTCAATTCCCCTGAGAATTTTGTAGGTGGTTATCATGTCTCGCCTTACTCTTCTGTCTTCCAGGGATGTGAGGTTCAGCTCCTTTAGCTTTTCCTCGTAGCTCATTCCTCTCAGTTCTGGGACTAGCCTGGTGGCATACCGCTGAATCTTCTCTAACTTTGTCTTGTGTTTAGCTAGGTATGGACTACAGGCTGGAGCTGCATACTCCAGGATTGGTCTTACATAAGTGGTATACAAGGTCTTGAACGATTCCTTACACAAGTTTCTAAAAGCAGTTCTTATGTTGACCAGTCTAGCATATGCCGCTGATGATATTCTTTTGATGTGGGCCTCTGGGGACAGGTTCGGTGTTATATCAACCCCTAGATCTTTCTCTCTATTTGACTCTTGCAGGATATCACCTCCGAGATGATACCTTGTGTTCAGCCTCCTGCTCCCTTCGATTTCCCTTACACACTTTGGAGTATGTAGAAATGAACGAGCAGATGTCCAGGTCGCTGCTGAAGTCGCTGAAGGATCTTCACCATGAGTCTTCATACCCAATTTTTTCTGCTACAAATTAGAGGTATTGTCAGGCAACATCACCGTGACACGGTAACTGAGGAAAGGAGGATAGAAGCACAAACCAGTGAATCTGTACGATGGTACAACATGGTTGCAGCTGGCAATCCCAATCATTATGGACGAAGAGGAGGAGGACGCGGGAGAGAATCAGTAATAGCGAGAATCCGTCTTGGATACAAATATCCATGGAGATTCGGAATGGAAACAACAGTTGATCAGCGAAGTTGCAGAATCTGTGGTGAGAGTGACGGACACCGCCTTGACCACTATCTACGTGAATGTGAACACCTGAGAGACATTAGAATATGTGTAGAATAATAAACCCCACATTGTTTGAGTTAGGAAAACACTATTTGTCAAATATTGATACTGTTCTTAAAAGATTCCCCCATTTTGCACCCGCAAGATAACGTAAGTTTTTAAGGGTTGACAGATGTTAATCTTCTTGTTTGAGGAGCTGTTCACTTGAGACAGTTAAGCAAGTCCCAGCTGTGTCTGGGTACAAGTGACAGGATGAACAACCCAGCGGGTTTTCTTCCTATTGGGGAGTGTTGTACATGCTGCTATGGCGGTGTGTCCACTCACAGGATGAGTGACGCTGCCCAATACTGTCACTATGGCGGTGTGTCCACTCACAGGATGAGTGGCGCTGCCCAATACTGTCACTATGGCGGTGTGTCCACTCACAGGATGAGTGGCGCTGCCCAATACTGTCACTATGGCGGTGTGTCCACTCACAGGATGAGTGGCGCTGCCCAATACTGTCACTATGGCGGTGTGTCCACTCACAGGATGAGTGGCGCTGCCCAATACTGTCACTATGGCGGTGTGTCCACTCACAGGATGAGTGGCGCTGCCCAATACTGTCACTATGGCGGTGTGTCCACTCACAGGATGAGTGGCGCTGCCCAATACTGTCACTATGGCGGTGTGTCCACTCACAGGATGAGTGGCGCTGCCCAATACTGTCACTATGGCGGTGTGTCTACTCACAGGATGAGTGGTGCTGCCCAATACTGTCACTATGGCGGTGTGTCCACTCACAGGATGAGTGGCGCTGCCCAATACTGTCACTATGGCGGTGTGTCCACTCACAGGATGAGTGGCGCTGCCCAATACTGTCACTATGGCGGTGTGTCCACTCACAGGATGAGTGGCGCTGCCCAATACTGTCACTATGGCGGTGTGTCCACTCACAGGATGTGTGGCGCTGCCCAATACTGTCACTATGGCGGTGTATCTACTCACAGGATGAGTGGCGCTGCCCAATACTGTCACTATGGCGGTGTGTCCACTCACAGGATGAGTGGCGCTGCCCAATACTGTCACTATGGCGGTGTGTCCACTCACAGGATGTGTAGCGCTGCCCAATATATATATATATATATATATATATATATATATATATATATATGCCTACCCCGCGACAATGGGAATCATTATTACATATACTTAGTGTTGTGTGGGAATATTATACAACAGATCTGTGTATTTTGTTTGTGTGTATTGTGTGTGTTTCTTAGGTGTGTGTATGTGTATATATAGGTAGATTACACCTGTTGTATTTTGTGAAACCCGCCCAGAGGGCAGGGGGCAAAAAAAGAGGAAATATCCCTATGAAAGCTCTAGGGGCAGCCTGGATGCTCAAATCCTATTGGTCGACGTTTTCTGTGTGTTTTTCCCCTCTGGAAGATTTAGGGGGAAAAATTCTGACATTCATCCTTGCCAATTCCCAGGTTGTTTTTCCCTGCTCTGAAAAGGCATTAAATCAGCGGAGAGGAAATTCCCTGCGTGTTGTGGCAGGTGGTGGGGGAAGTATTCAGAGGTGCAGGGAATGATTAATGGCGGGGAGATTGGAGAGATTCTCTGAGTGATGGTAGCTGGGAAGGGAATTTTTTATGTTGTTTTCCATTCATAGTGGGGGAAAAAAGAGATTGGTATTTTTACTCCAGGTCAAAGGTGGGGAAATTTTGAAGTAACTGACTGGAGGGAGATGAGAATATAAACACATGATATATATCTATAATGCAAAACAGAATTTTCTAAGATACATTGAAGATATACATTTTTTTAAGATATATTAAAACAAAAATAATTCAGGTTTCGTTGACCAATCCACACACTAGAAGGTGAAGGGACGACGACGTTTCGGTCCATCCTGGACCATTCTGAAGTCGATTGTGTCTCTTCATTTTCTAGTGTGTGGATTAGTCAACACACTTCAGCCACGTTATTGTGACTCATTGTCTGGAATTCAGGTTCTGTTTCAAAAGTATTAGGTTGAGAAATGATAGGCTAGGTTGGGTTACGTCAGGTTAGGATAGAACAAATTGGGTTTGCGAAAGGCTAGATATGGTAATGTTGCATTAGGTTATGATAGAATAGGTTAAGCCACGTTAGGTTTGTCTAGAGTAGGTAAGGTTAGGATAGGTGAGGTTAAGATAGAATAGGTTAGATTAGATTAGGTTCAGATATGATAGACCAGGTTAGGTTATGTTAAGATAGACCAGATTAGGTTAGGTTATGATACAATAGGTAAGGTTAGGTGCCGCCATGATTAAGGAAAGATGTACAGGTTTCGTCAGGGATTGTG